AACGCTCAGTGATTACAGGTACTTATAATTTGGCCCATATAATTTATACTAGGCAAAATCCACACATGTGCTAAACCAAATGCCAAACTGTCTAATTTTTTTGATAAGTGTCATAAATATTCAAACGCCTAAACATCTTCTCAGTGTAAAAAGATTGTATGATGACTATATTGATTGATTGATTGATCTAATATGATAAATTACCAAAGGAAAGAATAAATTACAAAATATTCAAATAAATAAATAGGGTCTCATGGAGGAGTTGTTAAGATGTTTATCATGAAGTTGTTAAGACAAAAACGGAATACCAGTTTAGTAACAGGTTTATTAAGATCACTAAAAATACTCCGCAAATATTACTTTAAAATAAAACATTACAAATTGTAGCAAAAAATTTCTATGAAACGTATATAGTCCCAAAATACTAAATTCAGAATAAGTGGATTCTACATCGATATATTCATTCGATAACGGGGCCCAAACCTTTCGGATATTCGATAACAATACATATATTGTGGCAGCTGGCCTTGAGATCAAAATGTACAAACTTGGAGAACAATGTGTTAACAACGCGAGATGGAAATAATGTGTTTTCTGTATTACTGGATCTAATTACAAGTATAAATTTCGTTGAAAATTGTAAACGAGTTAGATTACATTGGTAACTTTGTGAACAAACAGAGTAAAATTAATACATTACAAAGTAATTTGCATTAAATAATACTCGGATCTTCGCTAATAATACAATTACATAATTTAGTATAATGTGTCATTGTTAAACATGACTAAACTGCTGAATCGATTTAAAGAAATGAGATAAAGATAATCAGAAATCTAAGGATGGATAAAGGATATTAATCTGTATTAAAACTTTACGTAGACGAAATTGCAAATATAAGCTTATACTAGATTCATAATTTTGTAAGAAGCAACACTTTTTAATAATAAATACTGAAATTTCGCAATTACCATCTCGTATATGAGATAGTAATATGAATGATCTATTTCGAATCGTATTTGACCCAGGTTGTTATCATTAAGTCAGTAGTCTATAAGAACTTGTAACTCGTTAAACCAAATAGTATTAAGTAATCTAAAAATAATCCTTAAATCTTTAAAGACAAAAATTAAAACTGACAATATACCCATGGATGTTTAAAACGATTTATGTATATATTATGTATATATTTGAATCATATAATTTTTTTTTATTTACTGACAGATGTTATGAGAAAGTATACTAAAATAAAATGCTAAATAATCACATAAATTAGATTTAAACAAAATCAAAAAATTAAACAACAAAACCTTTAACATAATACCTTTAAAAAATCATATCACAAAAACTCAGATACGCTAAACATTTTACTTATAACGTCAGAAAAAAATTCTGACTCGAGAGTGCAGGTCTAAAAGCCTTTCCTGTAGTCACAATCGCGCAACCAAATCTCGATCAAATGTCATCGAAAATTCAACGGAAGCCAGCAAATAAGTTTCCACTCAAGTCTGATACGTATTTGCTGAAATGTGATTTGTAGATTTCGAGTAGACGCGAGTGGTTTATTGTGGAGGTACATATTAGGACTGGTGGGCTCTTAGCGAAAATTGAGATTGTGGTAATAATAAACTGTATGAGGTACAAATTCAGTCTCAACTTCACAAAACGATATTGGTGCGCAAAATCATGGCACCAATAATATATGGCAAATTGGATTTATTTACTTTTAGATTTTCACGTTCCATCGTTACATGAGGATATCCGCAAAAGAACCAAAGTAACCGATGGGCTGATCACATAGCTCGAAGAACCGACAACCGATTGGGGAGAAAGGCGACCACTTACGGGCAAATGAAGTGTAGGACGACCCCCCCCCCCTTACTAGATGGAGTGACAACCTCGAATGCATTGCAAGGAGCCAGTGGATGCAAGTGGTTCAGAACCGATTCTTATGGCAGTCTATGGGGGAGGCCTATATCCAGCAGTGGACGAATAATGGCTGAAATGATGATCACGATGATGGTTACACCGGCGGCAGTTACAAGTAGACAAGGCTCGATTTAATTTGATTCCCGCATTATTCCCTGTCACTTAAAAATAAAAAAATAATAATAACACACAACAGCGTCTAATTATTATGAACATTTTGTTATTAAATACCTAAACACTTGTATAATGTTACAACAATACCAAACAATGCCACGAACAACAACGTAAACGCCAGAAAGCAAATATTTGCTTTTGCCGATTGAGTTTCAGTTATTGTTGTAGTATACACAGAATCAACATGTACAAGAATAATACAAATTAATGTTAGAATAATTATTGTTATTCTCATGAGTATTATTCTCTAGGTACACTTTACTAGTACAATAGTAGATATCGTCATAGTCGTAGAATACTGACGGATCTTTATATGTAATATTCGTCAGATCCGTCAGTATTCTACGACTATGACGATATGGGTGTAAATGTATTAGTAAATAATAAAACCTATTATCTACCTATCAACCTGTAATTAGCACAGTATGCACAATAAAGAATCCATTCATTCATACATATTTAATAAAACCAAGTTAAAAAATATAACGTAACATACAGTAATGGGGAGGGAGTGGGGAAGGGATTGTTAGTAATGGAGACTGAGAATCCCATTGCTAGCAATATAGCCAACCAGGTCGACCTCCTCGCGGTACCCCCTGGAAACTGTAAAAATTGTAAGTACATTTACAAGCTATTACGAACTTATAACACACGGCCAGTCGTATGTTTTATCCATCCTTGTTGTATAAAAAAAAGGCTCAGGTCAAATGTAATAAATAAACTAATGTATTCTTAAGGGACTGCCCGCCATCCTAAATGTTTTCGGACTAGAAACAATACGGGAACACCTGCGTCCAGTCGGCAAATCGGCTTTGGTAGCTATCAGCAACGAAAATACAATACTAAAGTAAATAACAAAATAATACTGAAGCTTATTTATTTACTAGTCTTTACCCATGACTTCTTCCCCATGTACATTTTACTTCAGTGAGATAATTAATTTTTAACATTGTTAATATATATGTTAAAATATACATACAATATTAGTATACATATATGTTAAAAACATCGTAAAACATAACCAAAAGCCAAACTGCGGCCGCCTACCTGCCAAGCGTTGTAACTAGTGGCACAAAATCTCCCCTTAAGGGAGAGGCTATACCATATATCCAGCAGTAATTATTATTAATTTTAAAATAACTAATTTACCACGACTGGAGTCGGTATTTTTTGTAGAACAAAATCTTCTTATATTGATTTCTTATCGAGATAAAAAATATCCTACCTCTCAAATTGGAACAAACAAAAAAATCATTAAAATTTGGTTGAGCAGTTTCGGAGATTAGCATGAACAAACAGCATCACATAGAATTTTGTATATACTATATTAAAATTACCATTCAATTTGTATTGCATAATAATTAAGTCAACAACTGTAACAAGTATAGAATTACATTACAGTAAGTATGTACAATAAATAGTAAATACTAACATAAAGTTGTTGAGCTTGTTGCAAAATTTAATAAAATTTGTGGCTGATGAGAAACAGCTCTTCCGTTTCTATTAATAAAATCCATTATTGTACAACGGGTTTGGTATCTTTGTGATACATTGTTAAATACCTTCCAATCGTTCGATGCAGGTCAGGTGGTATATGACCGTTTTTATGACTACAGAAGATTGCCTGATATGATTCAACTGAAGCCGAATTACTTTATTTGTGACTAGCAAACTGACCTAGCTTTTTACTTTTTTTTTTTTTAATAAAAGACAGCCCATTTTGTTCACTAATAATGTAGCTTTCTATAGTTGAAAGTATTTTTTAAATTAAATATTTTTCAGTTAATCTATTACAAACCGAAAAATAAATGTTTTTAAACTTTATAATATTAGTTTACACTAGCTTTTGCCAACGACTTCATATCCGTGAAATTTGTAAGTTGCGTGAGTAGAAACCCAAATAATTAGATTAGATCATTTCCAAAATGGCATATAAAGATAATTTATATACCAGGAAAAAAAAAGATAATTTTAAATAATTACAATCGTAGATGTTACAATCGTGAGTCGAAGAGTTTTTATAATTTATTGTTCACAAGAAATAGGAGAGTGGAAAGCAAATGTACAAAGGCTAGCTTAATTCTGCAAGAGTTCTTTTCCAGTAAACCCAAATTGGAAAGAAGCATTAATGTCAGCAGATAGAGCAGTGTACAATACTGTGACGATTTAAAACAAAAAAGAACTAGACAAATGTAAGTTTATACATATTCAATTCTATTTAATTGTATGTATATATATAAACATAATTATATACTTACACACATACATACTTAATTGGTTATACGTAAAGTTAAATAGTTATGCAGTTGTTCAAGATTAGACATTATAGTTGTTTTAATAAAAGTTAAATTTTTCGCACTTGCAATATTAGAACCATAGATATAGACCGTTTAACCGCTAGAAGGTCAAACATTCAAATTTTGTTAACGGATAGAACTACACGCACTTTTGTATTTATTTTAATTTATTATAAAACTTGAGGCACGGACAAGCATTTCATTTCAACCAAGAGCTTCTCACCTTCAAGCGCAAACATACGTGTTTTGGACCTTCGTTGCCGAATAATAATACGCAAAGTACGAGTCAGCGACCATTGGACTCATCGTATGCCAATTCATCGCACAAGTTTTGGACTACGAGAAGTGAGAAGACATCTAGTAAGGATCGAGGTTAAGGCGTCGGAGGAGCAGCAGCAGACAGCAATCGTCCATAAGCGCATTCCGGAGCGGTCTGCCATCCTCCCTAACCCCATCTCCTTCGCTTCAATTGTGTCACACCGTGCCTTTAGTCACGTTACAGTTCTTGTGTTCAGCAATAAGAAGCAGCTTTGTGTCGCAGCTAGCACAGGCTGATCTTACAGACCAAGAATCAAACGTAAGTACCTTCATAATTTGCCAAAATGAGTATAAATGAGGCTAGTGTTAAAATTAATCGTGAAAGATCCCCTAATAGGCTAATCGCTAATAATGAAAATGATAATGAATTGCTTAGGGACCTAGTCAAGACGCGTGGCATATTAAAAAGCAGGCTTACTAAATTTTCTAAGGCCGTTAGTGATATTACCCTCGAGCAATTAACGAATCAAAAATGTGCCGATGTAAAATTACGCATGCAAGGTATTACAAGCTTATTTGCAGAGTTTAGCGATGTTCAAACAAAAATCGAAAAAATTGTACGAGATTCAGATTTAGATTCACAGCTGACGCAACGAGAATTGTTTGAAGATTGCTATTATCATGCACTAGCTCAAGCTGAATGTTTGCTCAAATCGGTAGAGGTCACTAGCGCGTCCAGTAAGGGCAGTAATAGGGCGTCACAGTCTATAAAACTTCCGACCATCTCCCTACCTGTATATGATGGAACGTATGAGCATTGGATCGAATACAGAGACATTTTTCTATCTCTAGTACACAATTCCGATGAAATTAGCGATATTCAGAAATTCCACTACCTAAAATCGTCACTAAAGGGAAGCGCGGAGTTAGTTATCGATTCCTTAGAATTCTCTGCTAGTAACTATGTGGTAGCATGGGAACTACTTCTCAACAGATACAACAATAGCAGTCTGTTGGTGCATAACCACGTTAAGGCCTTATTTACTATTCAAAAACTTTCTAAGGAATCACCACATGCACTCAGAAAACTAACAGACATTATTCTAAGAAATTTACGCGCATTAAAAATATTAGGTGAGCCTACTGAGTACTGGGATACTTTAATCATATTTATTATAACGTCTAAGTTAGATGAAACCACCGAACGTGAATGGGAACAATTTAAATGCACCACACGAAAATATATTAATGATAATTCTTCACTGAAGGTAGATGATTTACTTATGTTCCTCAGAGACAGGGCTGACATGTTGGAAACATTGCTAGTTTCACACAGGGTTAACAGTGACGTTAAAACTCAAAACGCGACTTCACAACAATCGTCATATTATCCGTCACATAAAAAATCACAACATAAAGTGCACTGCAATGTTTCCACCAATAAGTCACAGCAAGGTCGAATCACGTCTACTAAAAAATCGTGTTTAATGTGTAACGCCGATCATCCACTTTATTCATGTCAAACATTTTTGGACACTAACTTAGACGCTAAACTGCAATTTATAACCGCAAATAAATTATGTGAGAACTGTTTACGTCCAGGGCATTCAGTTAGTATGTGCAAATTTGGACCTTGCAGACTGTGTTTTAAAAAACACAACACGCTTATTCATAATAACGTGACTGATCGAGTAGCGGTCGTATCAATGCATCTAGCCGACAACGAAACCCCGGGTTCTAGTCAAATGACCCCCGCGACCGTCGCACCGCCCGCGCAGTCCATCCCCGCGCAAATTCATTCGTCTCGAGTAAACAGTACACACATAGATAATTTTAATTTAATTCACAAACAATCTACTATGCGACCCGTTTTATTGTCTACAGCTATAGTCGAGATAGCCGATAGGTACAATAAGTTTCACTTAGCACGCGCGCTTCTCGACTGTGGTAGTCAACATTGTTTTATTTCTAAACCACTATGCGATTTAATTAATATAAATTTAATACAGTCCACTTGCGAAATTCGAGGTGTCGGCAACACAGTAACAACGTCATCACAGATATGTGATATCGAGATCAAATCACGCATTGACAATTACTCCGCACGCATTAAATGTTTTGTGTTGCCGCACATTACATCTACGCTACCTACTGCGATGTATAGTCAACGCGCGCAGTCTTTTATGATACCTGACTATATACAGCTGGCTGATCCACAATATTATGAATCTCAAAATATTGATATTTTAATAGGCGCAGACTTATTTTGGGACTTATTATGCGAAGGTAAAATGAGATTACCCAATGGACCCTTTTTACAAAATACAAGGTTAGGTTGGATTATTTCAGGGCCTATTGAGTTTAACACGCACAATATCAATACGTCTGTCCAATGTAACTTCACTCAATCCATTGACACTCAGTTACGACGGTTTTGGGAGTTAGAAGAGGTGCCTAAAACTAGTGACATACAGACTGACGAAGAACGCTCTTGTGAGGAAGCTTTCATTCGTACTACCACGCGCAATAGTGACGGAAGGTTTTGCGTCAGCTTGCCACTGAAACAGTCGCCATCTGTTTTGGGTGAATCTTTGTCACAAGCTGAACGTCGTTTTTTGGCACTAGAGAGGCGATTAGAACGTAATTCTAACTATAAAAAATTATATATTGAATTTATACACGAATACATCGAATTAGGTCATATGACGCGAGTAACTTCATATGGAACCCCACACTATTTCTTACCTCATCACGGCGTGTATCGTGAGCACAGCAGCACAACAAAACTTCGCGTGGTGTTCGATGCAAGTGCCGCCACAAGTAGTGGAGTGTCTTTAAATGACATTCAACAAGTCGGACCTCCTTTGCAGCGTGATTTAGTTGACATCCTGCTTCGTTTCAGACAACATAGATACACTGCTTGTGCAGACGTCGAAAAGATGTACAGGCAGTGTCTCTTAAACGAATTACAACGCGATCTCCAGTTGATTGTGTGGCGTGACAATCCATCTGAACCGTTAGGTATTTACCGACTGAACACGGTAACGTATGGGACAGCCTCCGCACCGTTTCTTAGTGTTAGGTGTCTAAAGCAGCTGGCACTCGAATGTAAGGACTCAGCCGTCCAACAAATAATTTTAAATGATTTTTATGTAGATGATATGATTACAGGTTCAGATGACAAGGAGGAGTTGCTTGTACTCTGTAAGAAGGTCACTGATGTCTTAAGTTCTGGTGGATTTCACTTAAGAAAATGGATATTTAATTTTAAATGTGATGAATTGTTGGTTCATCAAATTCCAAATAATAACGCATCACAGGAATTAACATTAGGAGAAAATGTTCAGTGCAAGACATTAGGTCTTGGATGGTACTATGCATCAGACGAGTTTTATTTTAATACTCAAGTTAAAGTTGATACGTACAAGATTAGTAAACGAACCATTTTATCGCACGTTTCTCAAATATTTGATCCATTGGGATTATTAAGTCCGACCATTATAATAGCCAAAGTTTTATTGCAAAAACTATGGTTATTACAACTAGGATGGGATGATGAGGTACCGCGAGACGTGTTGCGCGCATGGACCGTATTTGTAAAGGGCTTATCAATGCTTAATACCATCCGCATACCCCGTCATGTTACAGCTAACGAAGCGATATGTACAGAGCTACACATCTTTACCGATGCATCGCAGACTGCATACGGCGCTTGCATCTACGTTCGAACAGTAACTAATAACGGACTTGTATCGGTAAAATTGTTATGTTCAAAGGGTAAGGTTGCACCTTTAAAACCTGTCAGTATCCCGCGACTAGAATTATGCGGAGCTTTACTTGGGGCTCGACTTTATGATAAAGTAATTAAATCACTTCGTCGTCATTTTGATAACATCATGTTCTGGACTGACTCGACCATAGTACTAGGATGGTTACACATGTCGCCTAATTTACAAAAAACTTTTGTACAAAATAGAACGGCAGAAATACATGAGTTGGTGAAGGAACTTCCATGGCGTCATGTCAGTGGGAAGGAAAACCCAGCTGATCTGGTCTCGCGTGGTGTTCAGATGGAGGACCTTTCATCTTCTACTTTATGGTGGGAAGGCCCATTTTTTCTTCGTCACACTAACTTCAGTTGCAATAATGTACCGTTAAATTCATTTGACTCTCAGCAACTATTGCCTGAGCTGAAATCCAGTGTGACGCATTCCTACGCTACTGATCAAGACTGCGAACGTACATTATTTCCATTTGTTAGATTTTCTCAATATAGTCGCATGAGACGAACTGTCGCGTATATACAACGTTTTATTCATAATACGCGCAATAAAAATACTCAACGGTCAGGTACTCTCACTGTCGATGAATTGAGGGAATCTGATATAACTTTGGCTCGACTGTCTCAACTAGAATCGTTTCCAGATGAGTATAGGTTACTCACAAATAATAGTACTCTAGTTAATAAGCATAATTTGTCTAAATTAAATTTATTTATTGATAAAAATAAACTAATTCGTGTTGGTGGTCGGATTGTAAATTCTCCCGACTTTAATTTTGATAAAAAACATCCGATTTTAATTTCATCTAAACATATTTTCTCCCTACTACTATTCAGACACGAACACAAGCAGTTGTTGCACGCAGCTCCACAGGCGCTTCTTTATAACTTACGTGAAACGTGGTGGCCAATTGGCGGTAGAAACTTAGCAAGGAAGGTTGTTTATGATTGCATTATTTGTAAACGCTTGAGAGGTATGACCCCTACTCCCCTTATGGGAGATTTACCAAAGGAACGTTTAACTTCGGGCTTTCCTTTTATGCGTTCTGGGGTGGACTACGCCGGACCAATGCTCATACTTAATCGTAAGGGTAAAGGTGCTAGGACGACAAAATGCTATGTGTGCTTATTTATTTGTTTTGTAACGCGCGCTGTACATTTAGAACTCGTCAGTGACTTATCAACAGATGCATATTTATTAGCGTTAAAGAGATTTATATCTAGGCGTGGCAACCCATGTGAGATTTTTTCTGATAATGGTAGAAATTTTGTTGGATTGATGAATGACTTTAAACATTTTTTAGCTAATTGTTCGTCACAGATTATAGAATATGCCACGGCTCAGAATATTCAATTCACATTCATACCGCCTTATGCGCCTCATTTTGGCGGATTATGGGAAGCTGGAATTCGGTCCTGTAAGAATATTTTACGTCGTATAGTAGGAAACGCGCACTTAACCTACGAGGAGTTCAGTACAGTGTTGACACAAATTGAAGCGGTCCTGAACTCCCGTCCTTTAAGCCCTATGTCCTCAGATCCACAAGATTTGTCGCCTCTTAGTCCAGGCCATTTTCTGGTGGGACGTCCACTTACTGCGCCTGCTAGTGATGACTTCACTGAGACGCCTGTTCATCGACTGACACGTTATCAACGAGTTGAGCAGATTCGACAGCAATTTTGGTCCCGTTGGGCGAAGGAATACGTGTCAGAACTTCAAATAAGGACTAAAGGAAGGAAGAACACACTTGAACTGCAGCCTGATATGCTAGTAGTTATTAAGGACGACAACCTACCGCCGCTAAAATGGCATCTCGGTCGAATAGTGAAGATCTTCCCTGGCAAAGACGGCATCACTAGAGTAGCCGATATTCGCACATCGTCAGGTGTCGTGAGACGCGCTTACAGCAAGATATGTCCCTTACTTGATGACTAATTCTAGTTTTGAAGTTTTAAAATTGAAAGCTGAAGCTTTCAAGGCCGGGGGCATGTTCAAGATTAGACATTATAGTTGTTTTAATAAAAGTTAAATTTTTCGCACTTGCAATATTAGAACCATAGATATAGACCGTTTAACCGCTAGAAGGTCAAACATTCAAATTTTGTTAACGGATAGAACTACACGCACTTTTGTATTTATTTTAATTTATTATAAAACTTGAGGCACGGACAAGCATTTCATTTCAACCAAGAGCTTCTCACCTTCAAGCGCAAACAGCAGTAAAGTAATATAAATTCAGTTGCAGCAATGTAAAACTCTAGTATAAGAATGAATGCATAAGGAAAGTCATAATTTTAGGTTAAAATCCGCAACCCGGGTCGTATGTACATAGACTGTGTGTCATGTTATATGAAAGCTACGAATTCGTGCATTCTTGCAGTTTGGACCACGACCGTTATGTACATACATATAAATGTACGAACGTACATACGGTACTATGCAGATTTTATCACCAACGCAAATATTTTGACATTATTTTTGTTAAAACTACTTATATTAAAATAGCTACTTATAGTAAGTATTGTACACAGACTAACGATAGTACCTGCGATCTCTTTCTACGGTATTGTAGAATAGTGCGGGTGACAGTTGACAGCTGTCAGTTTTGACAATGTTTGTCACAACTGATTGAACGTTTTTATAGTGAAAGTATATAGGGATGCAGTTTTTGTAGCCGAAATCTTTGTAATCGCAGTTTATTCATTCTTATTATTCTAATAATCATAATAGGTCATTCCTAATATAATTATTAAGTAGGTAAGTTACGTTTTAGTACTTTTATCAAAACAGAGTGATCACACTCGTCAAATTCAGTACGTGATACTGTTGTGTATCAATTCTGTCTCTGCAAATAAAGAAATACATACATACATTTGATGACAAAACTTCTAATACTTTGACATGGATAAACTGAAATATGATATGGTAGCAGTTAATGCGTAAATGACTGCGTGTAGAAAACATACAAACAGAATGGATAAGAAAAACTTATAACACCGACCCCAAATAATAAATAATAATGGTAATATAGCACTAAAATTTTTCAAATGCATCAAACCTATTGAAAACGTCATCTTAGCTAGGAAAACTTATTTGCAGCGCAAAATAAAAATTCCCCGTGTAAAGGACCGGAAACGGCAACCCCAGGAGGCACCGTTTAATTAAATGAAGCCACGATTGAAACCTCTCTCCGTGAGAAATCCAATATTTCATCCTTTTTCTTGTTTGTCTATTAAGATCGCTCCGTGCAAGGAATAGGTTATCAAGCCTCTAGTTCCCCGAGGTGTAGGTATGATAAACAGCACAAACTTTGTAGTAAACTGAACTTAATTAATTTTGTTACTGCATTAGTTGACTGTAAACACCGCTGTGCAAGTAATCACTATGTAATTTAAGAGTTGGCATAGCCCTTATTTTGACGATACATGGAAAACGAATTTATGAAACCGTCTAGAAACATCAACACAATAAAATTTGTTAATATGGGTCTTGTATCTACAATCTACTAATAATAATAATAATACTATCCGCCACGTTATTATATACTTCTGAATGGAATAAAAACGTCCTAACAACAGTAAATTTTTCCTTTTTTATAGAAAATCAAATGTAGTATTTTTAGTGTTGCAAGTAATAAATGTCGTAAAGGATCATAAATATATTTACGCGATCTATACTGTAATATATGATATATTGTGATATAAATTCACTAAAAGTGGTATAAAATGTTGACGTTTTTTACTCGAACTGAAATGACTGACGCATAATATCAGCACAGATTAGGAAGCAAAAAAAGGGATTCTTTAGACTATGACGTTAGTAAAGATGAACTCAATACTGAAACAGGTTTTACCTAGTTTGAATCTAAAGGGCTATACAATTTAAGTCAAGAAAGAGATGACAATGTTATTATAAAGATTAAGAGAACAAAATGCAAACAACATGGGTTATCCATGAACTATGTTAAAATAATTAAGATATGATTCTCACTTCGGTATCTATTCAAAATATAATTTATCGTTTGTCTAATTAGCTATTAGAGGGTCCCTTTTTCCTGAGATCGCAATTAATTTACAATTATGTACGAAGGGCTGCACAAAGCCTTATTAAATAAAATGTTTCAAAGACTGGCTCCACCATTAATTTAGGGTAATTTCTTTCGTCTTAGACGAATCTTTAATTAGTACTTTAACACAGTACGTATAATTTTATGAGACACGATGATTTCTTTTACGAACTAATTTAAATAATCGGTTAGATACTTTTTATTGATCTTTTAAGATAAGTAAACTTAGCAAAACCAAAAAAAAAAAAACAGGAAAAATATCACATTTAAAAACAATGTGTGGCCTAACACTGAAAGTAATTATTTCCACGCAACGTTTTAGTAAAGGTTTAAAAAGGTTGCTATCAATTATTATATGACATATTTTCTATATGATGACTGAGACTAAGAGATGAAAAATAATGTCACAAGTCCGTTTCATTATGATGGCTTAAGAGGCGATGGAGAGTATCGGGTACAAGAGTTGTAAAACTAAACAAAACTATGCTACGTAGCCAACGCAATAGTAATAGACTAATATAACTATGCCATACTAGCTATATCTCGCGGCATCATCCACTTGAATCTGTATATAAAGTGCCCGGTGTTCTAAGTTACGATAATGTAACTTGTGTATCAAATTTCATACAAATCCGTTCGTACTAATTGCGTAAAATAACAATCATTAATTCACCCCTACAAAGTTCCGCATTTATAGTACACTAGTGATTAGCAATCCAGGCCAACTTATGTTACTTACTGATCTTCTTTCTATAGATGAAAAAATTTTTAAACACCGATTGAGTAGTTTTTGAGTTTATCCATTGTAAATCAACAATCATAAATGTAGAGACCTATTCCCAGTAAAGGATGTTATTTACCTATTATAATTTATTTTATCAAAACTTTTATGCATATTAAAAATACTAAGGCCTTTTCTTTATCTCGCCAGTTATCCCAATCCCACGCCAATCTTTGCCATAGGTACATTTAAAAACGTTTATTTAACCTTTCCCTCTTTTTTTTATACTGTATAAAATATTAAAATTATAAATGTTATGTGCGTACATTAGACGTTCCTGTTAAGTTTCTAGATTTCCATAATTTGAACATTACACATGATACATTGATGCTGCCGAAGTGAATATAAAATATTCAATCTTGATCTAACGGATATCTTCCACCCTCATCACATAATGTACAAGCCAACTTTATCTCCAATATTTGAATTTTTAAAATAAAGTCTAAAGAAAAATTTACAACGCCACTGGCTACAACACGTAGAATATACATCCAATATATCTATGTTAAGTTTTAAAAACATTATAGTTTACAAAATAATAATGATACAGACTTAATTAAACATCGCGTGAAATTATAACATAAAGTACTCTAACACAGTACACTATCAAAATATTTCGACAATTTTCATACTTTGTAACATTATGGCAATTTACGTCTTACGCTCCGGGACATAAAACTCAATGTAGTGCAACAACAGCTTATTTAGTAAGGAAATATAACTGTACTTTGTTGCATGTAAGCAACAATTAATACTGTGGCCCCATGTTGGGCGCCAAAGGAGCAAGGCACTTCGAGAAACGGGATTTCATTGGAACTCAGCTACAGGACTTTAAACACTGCTTAATTAAACTCGAGTAGCTGAACGTGACCGCCCTCCCGTCCATATGCAACGAGCACGAACGCAATATAAAACGGCTAGTTCCTAAGAGATTTCATTCACGAAATTGCTCGCTAACTGAAAAAGATTTGTTCAAAATGTTATTCCATTTTACGTCTCGTACTAAACACAACGATTTAAACGAAACACTTTTATATATTTTACACGAAAGCGTATACGTAAAATATATGGTGATAGTTGA